ACCGCAGCGCCCGCCGAAGGACCCCTTCCAGTAGCGAGCCCCGGGAAAGCAATCAACTTCAATCCTCTGTTATGTCCCCGCGTGAACCAGGCTTCGGTGCCCTCGGAGTCAAATCCAACCTCCTGAGCCAGATTGGCGCGTGGATCTGAACGTCGAACTCGATCTTTCATGGTATAGCACTTCCGCTCGCATTAAATGGGGTCAGAGACGCAGGTGCCCTGCGACGGCTGGGCCCGGGCAACTTTTGCCTTGCCGCGAGACAAATGCAATCCAGACGCGCGCGCGGCTACGAAGTCCCGCCGCCGACGCCCCTCGGCGTCGTCGCGGGGGCAGGCGTCGCCGCTGACGCTTTGAATCTAAAGTGGGCCATGGAGCCACAGTCCGATTGAGCCTTGCCCCAGACCGCTGCCAAAACCTCGCCATCTTGGACAGCTCGCGGGCGCGGCCGGTGAATGCATCAAAGTCGCCGTCCTTGCCAGCTTCGAACAACTCCTTTTGCCCCTCCACTGAAAGGCGGTCGAAGGAGGAGCGCCCGCTGGATTCGCCGCCGCCGCCAACGGGGGCATCGGGGCCGCGAGATGCACGAGGCATCTCTGCGCCGGCATCAGCAGCGCCACATTTGGTCGCCTCGAACCTGGCCCCGAGGAAACCCCGAAGACCCTCCCAGAGAGTTGGAGACAGGAAGCTCTGCCGCTCGCCGTCCTCGACATCCTCGGCCTCGACCTCGAGAGCGAAGTTTCCCTCGCCGAGCTCGCGCGTCGGCGACGGGCCGACAAGGCCGGCAGCGCGCGCGAAGTCGACTTCCACGGTCGCAGTCTCCGCTTCCTTGGCCGCCAACTGGTCGCACCTTGATCCGGGCACTTCCTGTGACTTCTCGAGCTGCGTCTCCTTCTCGTTGATCTCGAACTCGAACTTGGCGCTGTGGGCCTTCGCCGCGTCCAAATCTTGTTGGGAACGACGGCGCGACTCCGCAAGAGTGCGCAAGGCGCGAGTTCGCTCGCGCAGCTGTCCCAACTTGTCCTTCGCAGCGACCTTGACCGCGTCAGTCGTCGCCAGGGAGAGCTTGAATGACCGACTCATACTGCGCAATCTGCTCCTGAATCTTGGCCCCCTTGGTGGCGCCATCGTCGCCGTGCGTCGCATCGGCCGCCCCGCTGAGTTTAGCCCTGCATGGCGGTGCCCCTGCGCCCGGCGCAGGCCACGGCTTGAAGGGGGCTGTGTTGTCTGACGCGCCTTCGCCTCGCAGCAGCTCCTCGATTGCTGCAAGTCGCTTGATTGCGCTGTCATTATTGTCGTTCTTGGGCTGGCCCAGCAAGAGGCCGCACCATCGCTCCACTTAATGAACTCCCCAGGGCCCCCCTGGAACTGCAAAGCCCGCGGGTTCGCGTCTACCCCCAGAGACCCATTCTCCGCGAAAGCCTCGGTGCGCTCAAAAGGGAGGAGCCCAAAGACAGCCGCCAACATCTGCCTGTGCGAGCCTGGACGTCGCGCGCACGCCTGCAGCCGTCGCAAGCGACGAACCTGGAGCTCATTAGCAAGAGGAGATAGGCGCCACCAACTATACACCTCACGAATGGAGAAAAAAACATCGAGGTCGCCCGTCCTCCTCCTCCCAGCTGGCCTCGCCCCCCATGGCTTTCCGGCAAGACCTCCGACGGCCTGCTCCAAAGTCTGCAGCTGAGACGACGTGGGCACATGAATTTCTACACCAGCAAGCGCCGCGTCGACTACGCGGCACAGCAGAACACATCTCTTCCATCTGTACGGCACCCCCTACTGGAACCAGAATTGCCCCATCCTGTAGAACGCAGCTTTCGTTGCTTTGATTCTCTTCGCGAGCTCATCGCTGAAGCTCCGGGCGGGGGTCGAGAAGGGGCCCAGGTGCCGCGCCTCGTCCGTCGCCCGCGTCTCCAAGCCCCTCAGGGCCGCAGCGGCGCCTCGCCGTGGGCTCTGGGGAGCTCTGAGAAGCGCCTCCTGCAAAGTCCCGTTCCTCTTCAACCCTTTCCCGTCGGGCTCTGGATCTAGAAACTCGTCGCTGTCTCTAAGGGCCTTCCGGGTCCGATCTACGTTGAAGGGGGGCCACAATCAACTTCTTCTGGAGATCAGCCGCGGACTTCTCGAGCCCTAAAGGCGCCCGTGGAGCTCCTGGGATCATGACCTCGGGAATCCTGGACCACGTCAGCTGCTCGCTCTCGGGGTCGGCTTCCTTGCGTCGCTCGAACGATCGAAACGCATGCGGGCCACTGGAGAGACCCACAGCCAGGTCGAACAACGAGGGGGCCGTTGGCAGCTGGCAGAATACAACCAGCCCTCCGAAAACGCTGACGACATAGGTTCAGGTCCCCGGGCTGCGCGAGGGCACGAGTGGCCCGACAAAGCGCCCCCCAATTCGACGACGGGAAGGCGCCGGTCAAAACCTTGAGCGAGCCGCCCCAAGAGTAACCTGCATGCGGGGGGCGCCAAGAGAAACACGCGTTAGCCACGTTTGCATCCTCCCCTCGACGAGCCCTCAGGAAGCCGCGAGCGCAGTTGGAGGCGATATACTTCGTTCCGATGCGCATCATGACCTCGAAGAACCCCACCCCCACAGGACCAAGTCCGTGCGCTGCCTTTCTTCCTTTCGGCCCAAGCGCAACCGCCGTCGGCAGAGCAAAGCACTTACTGATGTTCCACAATCTCGGAACGATACCCCAGAAACGAATCATATAAAATATGTGGTGCAACCATTGTCGGCAATGAACTCCATCCGTGATCGCGCGGTCAGTGCCATGTCCTGGGCGCGCGTCTCCACTTCGTTGCTCGGCAGGCGCCCTAATGGATAAGAGCCAGAATTCTAAGGGCAATGACCAGCCTGGAACACTCCGCCTCTTGGACGGACGCTCAAGATATCGCTCAATCTGCTCCATGTCGATAACAGCTCTGGCTCATGCTGATTGCACCCGTTCATCGCGCTGCTCAGGGGTAGGCGCAGGCCGAGACAACAACTGTTGCATGGCCGCCACATCGCCCCATGATACCCATCGACGCCTGGAGGCCGCCGCTGCATCCTGGTTGAGATAAGTGCGAAACCATTCTTCACCCGTAGGAAACATGCCATCCAATCTGCTGAAATCGCGCCTTCCTTCTACCAGATCTGCCTCCTGCTAGTCTAAGCGATCATCGACTCGCATTCGTTAGATCACGACTGCGCCAAGAAATCCAAATTTCATCTGCGAGTTGCTCTCGTGGTTGATCAGCTTGAAATAGAGTTTTACATTGCTTGGTTAGCCTGGCGAGTTCATCACAACACCGCTTGTGTTCATCACTCGAAAGACCAGCACCCAGCTTTCACCGAAGATCACGCCTCCGAGCCAATAGGTCTAGCCTTCTTTGGGCCAGCACAGATCGGACAGACCCAGCAGTGGGTCCTTTTGCTTGAATATTTATGCGCCAGCGGTTCGAATAATATGATCTAGCTTCTTCAGCACAATAGTAAGATCCAAACACGCATTCTCAACATTTACCCATTATTGTTCGAGTCCGGGTTCCACTATTATCACGAACTGCTCCTTCATCGGTCCTCCTTTGATCGCCTGCCTAAATTTTCCCGATCCCATTGGACATGTTCCATTTGCCTGCCGTCTGGGGCCATCTCTGCAGCTCGCCAATGCGCAATCGAACTATGTGGCACTCGAACTTTCACAAGGACAGGTGTATGATCCCGTGGCGAAACACTTTTTATCACTTGCAATATCTTCCCCAGTTTGTGTATGGAGCTGGCACATGTGATCTGTTCAGACCAGTTAGTGGTAGAGCAACGTGATCAATCATCGACGCACCCCCTTTGGAGCCATAGTATATGTCGGACAGAATGAACGTATTGTCGCTGGCGAAAAGGAACCCGAATCGTGCACTATTTCTCAAAAGCTCTCCCCAAACCCTCCTCGATGACACTATCTGCCTCGAACTCTTCCTACACTCCGAGCATCCACATCCACCCACTCCCCAGAAACCTTGGAGGTGCCCAGGCCGTCATTGATGTCCCCCATCAGTATAGGATGTACTCTAGCTGGCAAGCCCCGAAAACATTCACGAACCCATTCTTTCATTGCACCGCAACATGTTAGATATTGTTTGACAAGCTGAGCTCCCAGGGGCCTTGGGGAAAAATAGGGAACGATCACCATGTACGGGAACCCTCCCCTGGACAGCTCCACAGCTAAACCACGACCTTGTATGGGGCCCAGGGGGTACGAGCATGTTGCGTATATTTCTTTGGGTCCACGCTCGAGGTAGCAACAGAGAGCATCCCGCAGCACGTGTGACAAATCCTCCTGCCCTCCATCCCGCGTGCACTGCCAATCTTTCCCCCAGGCACTGTACCCGATACCCTTCGCGATCATGCTCTCGAATCTGTGTGCCAGGGAGGCCCACCATATCAAAAGCACCCATTCTGAGATAAGATCACTGGGACGATCACCGCAAGCATGGATGGGATTGTACACTATAGAAGAGAGAATCCGAGTTCCCATGGCGCTGGCCGAGGGCCCTTCTGAGCAGGAAACAGGCCATAAAAAGTGGATTCATGACTTATTGTGCTGCGCAGCCCTACAAGCCATGGCGGCAGCTACCTGGCAGGGAAGGGATAGAAGGGAAGGTGGACATTGTTTGTGTTGTTCCAATATATTTTTTGGGGGGGGGCGGCATTTGGTGATTCATTTAGACCCGCCGTCGTCCTCCATGTACGGAGTGGGCGTTTTAACATGTTCGTCTGTTGCCTGGAAACTGACTGGTACTTTCTAAGGCCGAACCCCCCTTCGTCGCGCGGCTTCCTAGAACATCGCCCGTGTTGGATTTGCTGTCCGGCGGGTTCTTTCGGCCTCCAGGCTGCAAGGATGGCCTCCAGGACGGTTGCCAGGACAGCCAAGCTGACACCAAGACGGCCCCACCTGCCCCAAGACCTCTCAACGGGCTCCCAAGACCCAAGACCGTCCTCCCACCTCCTTCCTTCCCCCCCGAGCCTGGATCGCATCGCTGGCCCTCGACGCCGCGTCCCCGTTGGCGGCACCCCCGCCTGGGTCGGGCCGGAGGGGCGCAGTCCTGGCGACGCGGGCGGGGCGGCCCCTTCTGCGCCGTCGCGACAAAATCGGAGACGCAGAAAAGTGGGCCCTAGAGGCTTCCAGAGATCCGTGGAGCACAAATTCCTCCTCCTCCTCCTCCTCCTCCGCCTCCCCCTCCTCCTCCTACTCCAGTCCTTCTCCTTAGAAATATCTCCTCCCTGTCGCACCCCGAAGCCCGTCGAAAGGACATGCCGGGCGTTTCGCCTGAGACTTCCTCACCACTTATGACCCTGACGCGTAAAACATTATAACGGCTTCGCAGATGGAGGGCGGGTGGCTTTCAACGTGTGGTTCTCGCCCTAGCGCCGCGCACATAAATTTTCAAACATTTTCCAATCTTCACGGAATAAGGACGGATGGTTTACAAAATGTGGCTCTGGCTTGAGCGCCGCGCAGATTCATTCGAACGATTTGAAAGAACTTCACGGATTGAAGGCGGGTGGATTTCAAAATGTGGCTCGTGCCTTAGCGCCGCGCACATTCGCTTTGAAACGTTGCAGGAGCTGAACGGATTGAGGGCGGGTGGCTTTCAACATGTGGCTCTCGCCTTAGCGCCGCGCAAAATCGTTTCACACACCTGCACGGGTTTTGCGGATCGAGAGCGGGTCACTTTCAAAATGCGATTATCGCCTGAACGTCTCGCACATCCGTTCAACAAATTGCAAGAGCTTCACGGATTGAAGGCGGTTTCTTTTCAGATTGTGGCTCCCGCCTCAGCGCCGCACACATTCGCTCAACAAAACAACTGTAATCGGCGGTGGGCAAACCTCCCTTTAGCAAACCTCCCCTTCGTGAAAACGGCTTGAGACCGAAACCGACGGACCTGGACCACAACGCCCTCTCGCGAGCCGAAAACGGCCAACTCCTTCATCGACGCGTCAGGGTAGGAGGTCGATCCACCTCGGATGTAAGAGCTTCACAGATGGAGGGCGGGTGGTTGTCAGAATGTGGCTCTCGCCTCAGCGCCGCGCGAAATCGTTATCAACATCTGCACGGCCTTCACGGACTGAAAGCGGGTGGTTTTCAACATGTGGCTGTCGACTTAGCGCCGTGCACATGCGTCCTCAAATATTTGCAAGAGCTTCACGTGTTGAGGGCACTTACTTTTCAAACTGTGGCTGTCGCCCTAACGCCGCGCACGTTCGTCTTAAAAGTTCGCATCGGTTTTACAGGTGGAAGGCGGGTTGCTTTCAAAGTGTGGCTCTCGCTGAGAGCCCGCCGCGCACATTCGCTTGAAAACTTCGCAACAACTTCACGGACAGAGGGCGGCTCGTGTTCAAGATGTGGCTCTCGCCGGAGCGCCGCGCACTTACACAAACAAGTCGCAGAACCTTCACGCATCGAGGGCGGGTGGTTTCAATGTGTGGCTCCTCGCTTTAGCGCCGCGCACACTCGCTTGAAACAGTGGCAAACGCGTCACGGATTGAGTGGGGACTGTTCCCAAACCGACATTACCATGTGTTTCACGCATTGGGGGCGGCTCCTTCTCAAAATGTGGTTCTCGCGTTGGCGTCGTGCACGCAGGATTGCAAAAACAAAAGATTGCAAAAAAAAACCCTGGATTGCAAAAAAAAAAAAACCTGTTTGCAATCTTTGTTTTGCAATCCTGGGTTTTTTTTTGAATCCTTCGTTTTAACCATGTGTAATGGTTCTCATGGCTCACGCACCCGGAAGTGGTGTTTTGGAACGACCCATGGTTGTGAGGGAGCAACAGTTACGTTCATTCGCGGTGCTGAAGTCCCAGGAACGGTGTTCTGGCGCGACTCAGGATCGCCAAAGCGTAATAGTCAAGTTAACTCGTGGCGCTGCTACCCTGAGAATGATGCTTACGCACGCTACAAGATGTTCACACGTTTGTCCCCCGACGGAGCAAGTCCCTCAAAGGGAATGACCCCTTGTACGGGGCTGCGAAAAGGGATCTCAGAGGGAGGGTGTATTGCAACATCGTTGATGACTCTTGGGTTTGCACTGGTCCTCCTCCTCCTCCTTTTCGTCCTCCTCGTCCTCGTCCTCGTCCTCGTCCTCGTCCTCGTCCTCCTCCTCCCCTCAACATCCCTCCTCCTCCTCCTCCTACTCCTCGCCCTCCCTCCTCGTCCTCCACCTACTCCTCCTTCTTGCACGGCTACCTCTGCCCGACGCGCCCGATAAGCGGCTGCGGGCCCCGCCGACCACAGACGCCCGCCAAGGGGCAAGAGCGAGCGCAGGGCCGGGTTTGCAGACGGTTTGGTCTGCAGCCCGCGCTGAGGGGGGAGGGGGCGGCCGAGGACCTTGACCGTCGGGGATCTTCTGACCCGGGTCAATCCAGACCCGGGTCAGCAGGAAACCGAAAACTGCAATGCAGGGAAAAAAAACTGCAACGCAGGTCTTCGCAAACCCGGGTCAGCCAATATGTGCGGCCGCCTCGCGGCCACGAACGGCTCGCTAATCCGGGTCAGCCAGAGGGGGTCTTCGCAGGATCCTGCAGGATCTGGTGCCGTGGCTGACCCCCGTTTGCATTGACCCCCGTCTCAAGGCTCCCGAGACCGGGGTCTGTGCCGCGCCCCGGCGAGGGCTGATCTGACCTGTGGCGCAGCGCGGCGACCCCTGAGCCCCAACGGCGACGAGCGCAAACCGCGCCCCTGCGTAAGCACACCCAGTGTGGCCACCGAAAACTGTGGGACGGATGAACACATGTGGCCGCGTCCACCATTATGCGCCCTGTGATGCTGTCATGCGGAACTGCGTTGACACGCCAAGCGTATCAATACCGAGGCACTTGCATGTTGGAACTGGTATGTGTCCATGCGGCCCGTGGCAAACAGCTGGCGTGTGGACATGAACCTGGGCGAGAAGCAGGGCGACGTCCTCTCTTCAATTATTTCACCTTGGTTTTAGCCCTGGCACTGGTGAGACTACAAGAAGTATGAAAGAAACACGACGTTGATGCCAACGCCGGGCATGAACTTTGGAAGCACAGTCACACTCCAACAATTTTCGTAGACGGCTGGGCGTTGATCGCAAAATGTCCACTGTCTATGAAGAATGTAGTGATGCTCTGTGGCGGTGTGCGCCGTTTGCATGTAAAACGTATTTGCCTCCGACAAAACACGATGTGCAAATTATCAATGACAGCAGTTGACGGCGAGGGCAACTGAGCATCACAAAACGATGCTCGATGGAAATTGAGCAGTTTGTGGAATGCCTGGAGCTCTGAAGAACAACGCTGTCCTTGTCGCTGGACGACCCCTGGGGCCTGAAATTGGAACCGCATCGCCGCTGGCATGACTAAGTTCAGGCCGATGAGCAGCTGCTTCTCAACAGTGGCTTCCATATGAAAGGGATTGCGCCTGATTGTTCAACACATTCATTTAGAACATCTTGTGGTCATCGTTATGGGGGGGACTGGCTCGGGGCGAAAGGGGAGGGGCATCGACCGGAAATCGGCGATACATCGCCGATTGATCGGCGATAGGCCCCCGATAGCGACACCGTGCGTTCCTGGGTGGGGTGGGATATTTGGCCAGTATCGGCGATCAATGGACGACTGGGGGCCAATGTGTCCCCCCTGAGCCTTTCACTCCTAGCGTTGACCCTGATGCGCAATTCAGAAGATTGCGATGGGCGGGCGGTGCGGTAATAAAAAATAACAAGTGAGAGAGACATGCACTGGAGGGTGGCGGGACGCCCAATGGCGGCATGCCGCGAATGACGGGCAGTGCACATATCACCTGCTGCTCCTGCGCCTCCTCTTCTTCCTCCTCCTCCTTCTCCTCGTCCTCCTCCTACTGCACCGGACTGGCGCAAGAGGTCCGCCATGCTAGCACAGTTGAGACCAACAGGAGCAGCAACAAATGGGGAAGGGACCCTCCTCCCTCCTCTTCCTCCTCCCAGCGGAGGAGGTGGACCGTGATCGAAGCGAGTCCCAATCCTGCCGCCCCACCCGCCCCACGCGCCTCCACCACGATGCGGTCAAGGTGGGCGCCGAGACGGAACCTTTGCCTTCCTCTTGCCGCGAGGCGGGTGGCCAGCCGCACTGCATCGATGCTCCCCGAAGCTTGGACAGCTGAGAGGGGCAGGGAAGATTGCCGAGCAGGGGAGGAAGAGGGAGGGGGAGGAGGCTTCCAGTTCCAGCTCCGTCCCCGGCCGGGCCCCTCCTGCTGGGAGACGGCACGTCCAGCTCGTCGCCGCTGCTCCGCTCGCTTTCCTGTGGGGGCGCGCGGCGCTGAAGAGGATGGCGACGCGGCGGAGGGGTCCCACACCTTCTCATACTCCTCTACCTCGTCGTCCCTTCTCTTCCTCGTCCTAACCCATAGCTCCTACCTCCTCCTTCTCCTCCTGCTCCTCCTCCTGGTCCTCCTATCCCTCCTTCCGCCTTCCCCCGTCTCCCCCCGTCCTCCCCCCGCATCCTGATCCATGATGCTTCCTTGCAAGTGACTGCCAAGAGGGCCCCAAGAGGGAGGCCCAGAGGGGGGGGAACTAGAAAGAGCCTTTAGGGCCCTCCACCCCAAGATGGCCCCCGAACCCGCCTCCAGGCCGCCTTCCAAAATGCGTCCGCGGGGCCCCCAAAGGCTCTCAACAAGCACCAGAGAGGCCTTCCAAAATATCACAAACGGCCTTCAAAAGGCCTCTTGTGCACGAACCAACTACGGTGGCGGAATGGGCCGAAAACCGCTCGGTGAACGACTAACCCCGTGGACATCAAACAGAAGGTTATTGCACCCTTGATGTGCATTATATGTGACGCATTCTTCCTTCTCCGACATAAAAAAACAGCAACATTCACGCCTCTGCAACTGGCACAATGCGAATCAAAGAGCCGCCAGGCAAACCCGGAACGCCACACAAGTCGACCTGCAAGAGGCAAACTCGTGTAGAGAACCTTGGCCTGGCAGAGAACAGAGGAGCACGACCACGAAAACACCAATCTATGTGCTAGAACTTGAGGCACCAACCATTCGGCACCAAGCAAGAACGCGAACACCGTAACAACCAAAGGCATTATACAAATAACACCGTCCATAGAGAACATCACCTGTACGACACCCATGCTCTTGGCCCACGGAAAAGCCGAAATCGAGACCAGAGGCTCATGGCCCACGGCGAGGGGTACAGTCGGAGACCCTCCATCGGCCAAAACAAACAGAGCATCCAAGGTGCCCTCCCCAAGATGCACAAACACATCCAACAAGCACGGAAAACACTTGGGCACCCTCCCCGAACCGACCTCCATCTTATACCTCGGTCCGAATGTAAGGATGGGCCGGGATGCAAGGATGAACAGGTACTTGGACAAATGCTCGTTCTTGTGACCCCTTCTGGCTGCGGGGAGTCCAAGTCAAGAGCGCGAGCAGCGTGACCGTCGAGAGTTGCACCAAAACACCATTCACAGAACATCACCCATAAGAGCACGAGGTCAAAAAAACGCGAAAACCGCAGCCGTCAAGGGCGTCACGAAACGTCGTAACCACTGAACTCCACCCCTAGGGAACCGGGGCACGAATCGGAGAACCGCAGCCAGCACTTGATGGGCCGATTCTCCACCACCACTACCATAGGTAGGAGAGGGAAGAGGAGGAGGAGGGGGAGGAGGAGCAGGAGGAGCAGGAGAAGGACGGGCAGGAGGAGAAGGAGCAGCAGGAGGAGGAAGAGGCGGACCTCCCGAACCTCCCTTCATCCCCCGTCCGACCTATGGTAGTCGTGGTGGAAAGCTGGCCCATCAGCACCTCCTGCTCATTACGACACGAGGCCAGAATGCCACGAACAGCAGCCTCGCCAACATCAAGGCAAGGGCATTGTCCATTCTCGTCGCCAGAATGCATCGTCCATAGCGCACGAAGACAAGGACGACACACCGCAACCACATAGGCACTCGAAGGCACCAACCATCCGACCCCGAGGCAACGGCGACAGAACCGCAACCAAGAACACATCAAAACATACCGCCCACATTGCGAATCATCATACAAGTCAATAGCAACAACGACACCCTGACAACCAAAAACACCACGTCCCGGAAAGCACAATGCCACTAAATGCGAAACCACAAGCGTCAAAGCATCATATCGTGCCGCCCACAACACAAACCATAAGACACCACGACGAATGCGAGATGTCGTAACCATTAATGACCATGGGACACCAGTCAGAGAACACCCCTAGCGTGCACCAGGGCAAGGTCGAAAACATCGCGTCACCCAAGGTACCTCACTGCACCCGCCATAGAGCATCACCCGAACAAGAGAAACTCGCGAACTCTTCATGCACCGTATGGCACGGGCCATGGAACACAAACCACAAGGCACCCAAACAACACATAATGCGATAACTTCAAGTGTTTCGGAAACTTGGGATGCCAGCTTCGGTACCCCCATACGAAGAGCCAACATGCACCCAGAAACTCACGAGCACGTCGTGACCATGAATGCATCACGAAACATCGGCCACAAAACATCAGCCGTAGGTCGCCAAGGCAAGAACGAGACATCGCACCCTTCAAAGCATCACGGGGCACTAGCCACTGAGCACCACACATTAAATTCAAGGGTAAAAACAATCAAGCCGCAACTTCTGAGGCACCGTAGAGTACTGCCCATAAGCCACCACCGAAATACGACAAGCACGCCACGTGTAAGATTTATCATTGTCGCACGACCCGTCTTTCAGGCCAAATGAATGCGAGTGCCGAATGCCAAATACGAGCTCGGTCGCACGCCGCACTCGCGGCATCAGGAGGTTTGACGGGTGCTGCGTGCGCGTGCGCACGAGAACACGTTTCAGACCAGATTGAACGGACGGGCTCGAGGTGGGCGCCTTAACCTGCTGCAAAATAGAAGGCGGTAAATAATGGACTGGGAGCCACTAGCACCGACGACTTTCGTCGAACGATCCTTCTTATTGGTCAGCTAACTGAATGCGGGTGTCGAGAGCCTGGTCTGGACTTGGTCGCGCGCCGCATTCGCGGCGACAGGCTAGTGCACCGCGCGTATACAAACGAGACCACCCGAATTATTTCGTCAAGCGGGCCATCTGTTATACCTGTTAACAGGCTGCCCAGGGTGGGCGGAATGGGAACACCAACGCACGCGCACAAGCCTGCTACGCATCGAACCTTGTAGCGTGGATCGTGTGGCAAAAGGTTGAAACAGATAGACCTGCCCAAAACCCAAACATATTTTCGCGCAGAATTCGCAGAGGGACGCCCAGATAACATTCAAGACAACTCAAAAACAACAGGGCCGAATGTGACTCCCCCGCCGCCTCGCCCTCGCGGAGCCTGTTCCCTGGGGCCCCCGACGCGCGCCATAGGCTAGGGCTCAACGCTTGCACTGCGGTGGAAAAGCTGGCCAGCTTGGCGACAAAGTCGCGGCCGGTTTCGCCGCCTTCTTCCGCGGGCAGATAAGACGGGCGCAAACCTGTCGCCGCGTAGGCGCAGGGGGGCCCAGGGAACGGGCGCCGCCAGGGCGAGGCGGCGGAGATGTCAGAATTGGCACCGTTTTTTTTTTTTTTTTTTTTTTTTTCTGAGCTTTTCAAAAGGGTTATCCGAGCCCCCTCGGCGAATTGAATTTTAGGCGGGCGTTCTTGTGGCGCCTGGACCATGCTCTCATTTTCAGACTCTCGAATCGACGCCCCCCCCACGCCCTCGCCCCACCCCCGCCCCGCGCCCCCCCCTCGCCCTCGCCCCTCCCCCGCGCCGCGGGCCTTGCTCGCGACCAACGTCCGACCGGGCCCCCGCCCCCTCCGCATCTTTCACATCCGATACTTTCCCTGTCGCGTTGCCCAACTTCCACGCTTGCCCGCGGCGTTCCGCTTCCGAGGCGGGGGCGGGCCAGTCTGCGCCCCGCGGCTCGATTTTTCAATCCCCCCCGAACTGCGAACCTCGCGCCGCGACCGCGGCGCGCCTCGCGTTCGCGTCGGGCCCCCGGCGGCCAGCTGGCGGACGGCGACCGCCCCCTTCTTGCGCTGACCCCCAATTGTGCAGCTTGCAGCGCTCCTCTTCGGAACTCGGCCCCCCGCGTCCCTTTCTTCCATCATTATGCGCGCCCGCCCCCGGGAGAGGCGACACAAAGGCCCCCCTGAGCCTCCCCCTTTACTCGGCCCCCAGATCCGTCTCGGAGCGCCACGTAACTGGGAGTTCGAGACGGATCCGGCCGCGCTGACGAAAACGGTGCAGATCAGGTCCAATCCTCGCCGACGACGACGAACACGACGACGACGACGACGACGACGACGACGTCGACAACGGCGACTGCGACTGGCAACGGCGACAGCGACAGAAGGCGCGGCGACGGCGGCGGCGACGCGGCGACGACGGCGGAGACGGCAACGGCGATGGCAACGCCCTGCGGCATCGGGCGGCGCGATCCCCGGGCGCCCCCGGAGGTGCCCAGAAGCCCCCCCAGCCCCAGGGGGCCCGAGAATGGTTAGAAACGCCGAGATCACCGCCCGAAAACTGCGTTTGTCTTAACAAGAATAAAGAACTTCGATCCTCATCGGCCGACGACAAGACTCGAGGAGTAGGAGCACTAGGAAGAGGAGGAAGAGGGGGAGGAGGAGGAGGAGGAGGAGGAGGAGGAGGAGGAGGAGGAGGAGGAGGAGGAGGAGGTGGAAGAGGAGGAGGGGAAAACTGAGGAAGGGGGAGGAGGAGGAGGACGAGGAGGAGGAGGAGGAGGAGGAGGAGGAGGAGGAGGAGGAGGAGGAGGGGGAGGTGGAGGAGGAGAAGGAGCAGGAGGAGGAGGAGGAGGAGGAGGAGGAGAATGAGGAGGTCGAACCTGCCAAATCAAGGGTGCCTTCGTGTCCTGTCTATCCTGTTTTCTGTCTTCGCGGTTTCTGGGGCCATGTCGCCCTCGGAAGAGTCTTATCTCCTCCGGGCTGCGCTGGACTCGCTCCCTGCGCCTCCCCACTCGACCTCCCCTATGCGACATGCGGCGGCAAGGCCCGCCATGGCGTGGCCCGAAACCGCCGGAGAAACGCCCGACCAACACGAGGACGGGGCCTAGACTTCCTAAGCTGTGTCGTCTCAGTTGTTGAGTTGTCAACGATGTTCTTAATTTTGGGGCCGTTTCTGGTCTCAGGGGCCGCCCAAGAAACTACCCAAGATTAAATCTTTGTCCCAATGGATGTGTCTGGCCTTCGAAGGAGGGCCCGTATCGGGAAAACACCCAAGCCGCCCGAAAAAGCCCCCGAAGCTCCCAAGGGTCCCCCAAGA